CCAGAAAAGGTGGTGAAACTTATGTAAAAGCTTTATTTGCATAAAGTATATTCAAGTTTGTGTACTCCAAGACCCCTGGGAGTATGGTAGGGACACAAATATACAAATAAGTTTTACATAGGAATATATGTAGAAAAAAAATTACATTTAATTGTCTGCTCAGGGACTTAAGGAAGGGGCTAAAGATGGTGGCTATATCAGTAAGCAAAGACTCTCTGGTATTAATAAAATCAATTCCCGTTCAATTTCCCGTTTACCGTTCAATCGATCCCGTTCAAATATTTTTTTTAGGTTTTCTACCTGTTCCTCAACTACATGATTCCCCATGTACTATAAGAAGATTTTTTTTATCCGTCCATGGAGTCCATGAAGCTCGTCGTTTTTTTTTTGTTTTTTTTTTTTTGTTTTTTTTTTTTTGTTCAAATGGTACTTAAAATAAAATAATATACTGTTCAAAAAAAAAAAAAGAAACGCAGAGTAATATTTTAGTGAAACATTAATACATAAAGGTTACTTAGTAGAATTATGTATTGATAAGAAAGAAATATGGTAAACAAAAGGTCTACAATCTAAATATCATAATTTTTCAAGAATTTTGCAATCATGGAAAATTCAAGGCTATTAAATATCAAAATCTCGTATGCCCCCCCCCCCAACAGAAATATGTGAAACCCCAAATCGTCATCCCAATAGACGCATATGAGTGTATACAAAATCTGCATAAGATTGCCATCACAATCTAAATGTAGAGCTTGGGTCTCTTGTTGCAGAATCTAGGGATGGGTTTTTTGGCGGATACGTCAATCCATTTTGCATGTTCAATGGGATGTTAATCTGGCGATTTAGATGGCCAAGGTAGAACAGGATGCTGTGTCCTTGCAAGAATGCACTTGCCATACGAACCGTATGTGGCTGTGTATTGTCAGATTGAAATACGACTCCAGGATGCTGCATGATTGGAAAGACGTGTGCAGGTAGGACGTCCTCAGAGTACTGTTGTGCCGTCAAAGTCCTATGAATATGAACCAAAACAGCCCTGCTTGTATACAATACCGTTGCCCACATCATTACACTAACATGACCAAGTCTATCAACCTCGCGGAGCTAGTTTTCTGCAAAACGTTCATTACGAAGCTTATGCACTCTGACTCTTGCATCAGATTTTGCAATAAAAAATTTTGACTCATGGATAAACCAATCTATTCAGGGGTGTTGCTGTGGCCATATTCTGTTGATCTGAGATATTTGAAGTCGATATTTGTGGTTTGTGGGGTAAGAACAATGACATGAATAAGTCTTCCGGTTCTAATTCCAGCTTTCCGTAGTCAATTGCAAATGCTTTTGTTTGATATTCTTTGCATTTCAAAGACAGTAAATGCTGTAGTAGAAAATTATACAAACCAATGAAGCTGATGTCACGTGTAGTCTGCTATATTATTTGCAATTGTTTGCTGAACCATGCTTTAAGTATCTGTTTTAGGTAAGATATTGTGCTTTCTGCAACATTAAATCCTCATGCAATTGTAGACAGTGGTACACCTGTTTCCAGTTGCCCAATTTCCTTTTTGTGATATGCATCGCTCAAATTCAGCATTTTTAGATAGAGTCAACTTTCAAAAATATCAAAATCAAAAAATCGATAACCTAGTGAAGTTGATAAGAAACCAACAAACGAAGTTTTAAAAAGTCCAAATTTTAGCATTTTTCAAAATCGGGCTTTTTGTCTTCGGTTTTGTACTGTCAAGTTAACAATAGCGTTAAAAATTAATAAATTTTACTCGAATGAATCATATACATCTAAATAAAATGTATTAAAAACTATTTTATATCATTCAGCATTTTACATGTTGCACTTTTTAAGGAAATTATGTACAATATGCACTTTTTGTAATTATTGATGTCGGACAACAAAAACGTCTGTAGCTTTTTTTCTCATCTCCCCAAACTATTTGAATTATGTTTTTTATGCGACATCAATCTTTTGATCTCACTCTTTACCCGATACTCAAAAAAAAAAAAAATAATAAAATAAAATAAACCAATTACATGTTTAACAGTTAAATGGCATTTTAATGAATAAACAATTGCCGATATGAATTAGGCTTTATTCTCAAGTATATCTAAGATGCTTGAACATTGTATCTAAAAATAATAATAATGATTGCTTGTGTTTTTAGAAGAGTTCTAGGTTTACTATATCCAATTACCCCCCCCCCCCCCCCTTAAAAAGTTTATTGCAAGAATTTGAAAAGTGAGTCTTTTATGCTTGTGTAATCTCTAGTACGTTGAATATTGCAAAATTGGTTTTAGAAAAAAAATCTTAATGCCCAAAGTCAGCGTGTTTGTTATGAAATACAATTCAAACAGTAAGAATCATGAACTTTAGGTCAAGCCCACATCATCACAATCAAAGTTTTAATTATTGCTCTTACCTTCATTTTAGTATACGCAAAAACAGAAACTGATATAGCTCTATAATTGCATTCATTTTAAAATTATTCAAAATAAGATCAATGTTGAGAACTATTTGAATAAGCTTATTGTACTCGTAGAATGAAATAAATCAAATTCGGCCCGGGCTCCAACTCTGAAATTATTTTCATTTTTTTATTTAATTTTTTTCATTTACTTATTTTGAACTTATTTCCAAAAAAATCTTTATTTATCTTTATTTTTGCTGGATAAAATAGACTAAGATTCTAATCCGTGAATAAAAAAAAATTTAAATAAAATATTTTTAAATCATTGTTTGTGTGTTCCTTTTCGAAATCTTGAATTCGCCCCGAATAAAGTGTATTCCATAACCTATATGATCATATATTATACATAAAGTTCCAAAATGACACCAGTACTCTGCTAGAAAATTCTAATATTCATTTATGGTCAATTGACAAATGCGATTTATGTAATAAATTATTTTATGACGACGAGTTTCCATGATTTTCATTTTGTCACCCTTTGGTGAGCCTCACATTTTGCTAAGTCAGTTACCCGTATATAGCCTCTCTTCTTTCCTTTGATTTCATTGGCTAAGAGATAGCGTCCTTTCTGTATTAGCCTAAGCCTGGAGGAGAACAAATGTTTTTGTGAATTTTTAGCCAGTTTTTTTAGTTACCCCCCCCCCCCTCCTCCCCTTAACCGCTAATGGGTGTGGTGGATGATTGACCCCACCTTTGCCAAGGTTAGAAGATTTAAGACAAAATTACATTGTATACTCTCTGTATTTACCTGTTAAATTCTTGTTTTGATTTTGTATGAAGAAAACTGTATATACATGTTTTTACAACAGTTTTTTGGGAAACAGTAGTTAATATAGAGTTTGTGTTCTGTTATTATTATAAATGTATGTAAGAATATTTTATATGTGTAAAGAACAATTGTCCATATTTGTTGGAAACCTTTGATGCTTATATTGACTACATTTTTTGTTGATTGATCAACATTTTTATTTTGATCAATAAAATACAACTTCAATACACACATGTGTTTTGTCCCTTTTTCATAGCAGTTGGGAAAAGAGGAGGCATAAAGGAGTTTACGCAAAGTCAAGAGTTCTAAGAAGTTTAATACGTATGTTACAAGCATGCTATTGATAATAACTACAGGTAAACTTCGTTATCTCGACATCGACGGGACCATCGGAAAATGTCGAGATATCCGAGGTGTCGAGATATCAGAGTTGAGACTTGACGTCTTAGATTTCACTGCATAGCAAAACAGACAAGCTTATTATATGTACATGACTTTAATATAGACAGTAGCTCAACATATTTCAGAATTTCCTTTATTTTTATTAAAAATCTAAGAAGTTATTTTAAAAATCTTGTTTATAAAACGTGTTCTTTATCGAAATCTTTCTAAATTCACAAAGTTTCAGCATAAAGTTACATCATTCGCGTGTAACTTGCCTTTTTGTCAGAACAGGATACGAAATGCGCTCTATAAACTTCGAACCGTATAAAGTCGACATACGATATACGGAAAAAGTTTAAATGCGGATTACTTTTTTCTTATTTAATTCAGGAAAAATGTACATTAAAATTATTTTTTTAAAGAGATTTGTGCATCTAAACTAACGTAGTGATGTTACAGATGCATGAATTACGGCTGATTCTGTCAATCGTGTCGTTAATTGGATTGTTTCCTGTTGAATACATTTTAAGTACAAAATATCATTTATACATCTTTTAATTAATTCCTTAGTTTGAATTATTCAGTGTGTTTGTTATTCATTGAAATTTAGTTGCCTTCTTCAAATTTAAAAGTTATGTTAGATTCCCATATAAAAACCGTTTGTACACTTACGCAGAATCGTGTAGATTTAGCAATGTTATTACCCAAGAACATTAAGCAAATAACTTCTAAAAGACGCCGAGGGGGCTTGGGATTCACCTACAAACACAATCAATAGAATTGATTTAACAACGTGCAGTCAAAACATGGGTGGGAAAGGTGTGAAATTTTGACGACGTCGAGATACCCGGAGTCGTCCGTGCGTGACGAGCGACCCTATCTGACAAACAGTTAGGTTCAGTAGAGCAGAAAATTGCCGATGTCGACATATACCAGGTAAATTTTGCTATTGGGACTGTAAATATACGTCGAGATAACCCGGGTTGTCGACATTACCGATGTCGACATATCAGAGTTTTTGCAAATCACTTATATAGTAAATACTGCCGGGACCGCGGAAGGACGTCGACATATCCCAGGTTGTCGACATATCCGATGTCGAGATACCGAAGTTTACCTGTATTACAATTTTGAATTTTGCTGTCGGTTATTTAAACCAACATATTTTTATGGAGCATATATATATATATATATATATATATATATATATATATATATATATATATATATATATATATATATATATATATATATATATATATATATAATGAAATTTACTTATACATCATAAGCACTCATTTTCATTTAAATAAGTAAGTAAAGACAGTTCAAAACTTTTATGTTTATTATGTTTATTACAAAAAGGGTGAAAAGTAAACGCAACAGAACTTACAAGCAATAAATTAAAAAGACAAAAAGAACAAAGAAATGAAAGACATATTTAAATATTAATTGGTGATTAAAGTTTCAAGAGTTGTTCAAGTCTATATGTAAACTTCAAATAATGTTTTTCTTCTTACAAGAGCTTCTAGCAAATGCTGCTGTAAGATATGGAAAAACAATGGGCATAGACTGGATTCAAGAAATATGCGAAAGATTTTCACGAAAAGTCCTTGTCTTTCAGAGAGACTTGGTCATATGCACTTTATGCACTTTCCAGGTACTACTGATTTGGTTAATTCGGCTCCAAATATTATGTATGCCGACCGGGCTTACTAACTAGTTATATTCGATCCTATTTCTTATTGTAAGTAAGATTTTATCGGATTGGATTTCCTCGTAAATCTATAGATAAGGGAACAGATCGGAACGGATATTGGTAAAAGTTTTTTGGTGGGCTGTGGATATCGTTGTTCCTCAAGTTCACGTGTAATCTTCTTTGTCTTCTAGATAGGTTTGGAACATCAAAGGAAAATGATTTCAATTTATTGTTAGACATATCAAGATACTCCAAACTGGGAAAACTTGCGAACCATTTCTTTAATTCTTCAGGCAACTTTGATATTTTGTTTGAACTTAAGTTTAGTGTCAAAAGCTTTGGGTAATAAGCATGCAATGTTAAATCCTCCATAAAATGTTTTCCAAGGTTCGGATTATTCGAATTTTCAAGGTATTCAAGATTTTTGTAATGACATTGAAAAGATTGAGATCGAACCTTTTCTCTGAAAATGTCGCTGATCTGAGACATAATATCAAGCATTTTGGCACCAGAGGTTTTTGGAACATTTATGAATCTGTAGGTATTATTTCGCCAAATAGATGTCTTTACCGATTCCTGTCCACAAGTATAGGATTTTTCAAATTGCATGTTCCTGATCATTTTGAACCATTCAGGAAGGTTGATTTCTGTAACACAATTTTCGATACGTCTGTGTGAAAGCGTATCTGGATACCTCGATGGTATGTTGTATTCCGCGAAGTAACCTCTTAGATGACAGTTTTTTAGTACCACCCTTTCCAAATTGCGAGCTCTCATTGGCCAGGGAATATGTATAGATCCTCCCTCCAAACAAGAAATTTCTAGAGAAACTTTACCCAATGGTTCGAGGTTGTCTAACCATTTCCTGAATTTGATGAAGTCCCATTGTTCGCTTACTTTGAAATAGCAGTCTTGATCGCCACGAAAGTTTCTCCTGCATGATTCTTGGAAGGAAGTTCCTAAACCTTCAGCGCAGCTATACAGGCTTACAAGAATTTGCAGAGTAAGAACAGATGACATCACACTCTTGTGAAACATAGCAGTATTTTAAGTAATAGTTACTTAGAGTTATTTTTTCTTAATGAAACAAACTTTGTTTGTTGTGTATATATATACATTCAGGTGAAGGACAGCACGTGCTTGGAGAGCCAATCAACAGTAAATATTATAATGCTAGGCCTTTCCCATTCACACGAAGGGTCAACCATGACAAATAACTGATAGGTAGGGAATTTGCTTCTTTGAATGAACGACATAATTAACACACATTTGAAGTGGGATTTTTTTTTTTATAATTTCTCACTCATGTATTGTTTGAATAAGGGGCCGGGGATGTGTAGTCTGTTTCATCTTCCATATTAAAGTAATTTGTTTAGATTTTGATGTTATTTCTGAAATGCGATTTTTATCAGGACGTTTGCACTTTATGATGAAAATTAAAGATACATATTTAAAAAATCCAATTGCATTTTTTGAAATAACTATTTTGATATCAAAGTTGTTTTACGCTTTTTATATAGATAAAAGACAAAATATTTATCTCGTTTGTAATTCTGACCCTGTATAATTCAAAGAAATATAGAAAGTTAAGATTTTAAATCATTATTTAGATGATGATGATGATAATGATTATTATTATTATCATCATCATCATCATATCGATATTTATTATCTTTATCAAATAAATATCACGAATTTTGCCAATTTATATTTAATTAATCAATTTAACCTCTTTAATCCGATGTTTGCGTATATAACAACAAAGGGGAAATACATACAGTAAATACTGGGGAATATAATGTGGATGATTCCCCAAGTCAAGTACAAACAAAGTTCACAAAAATTATCAAGTACATTGACTGCATTCTCAAGAGATGCGTTAACAGGTGGAAAAGGATGACTTTGTTGACAAACACACTTACCGGTACATATACTATACAGAAATCTTATTTTGTCTTAGTGATTATTTTGTATGAGACATTTGACGTTAATGTTCCTTTATTTTTTGTTGGTGTATCTCATTTCTTTAATGGCATACATCCCCTTCCGGTTTAATAATGGTAATTAGATGATTAAGCACCACGAACTTTCATTAAATTTCAATTATAGGTTCCATTTTCGTAGTGAAGTAATCTAATTTTCAAACAAAAATATATTGTTATATCCAAATATAAAGCAACCTTTTTTGCTTCAAATGTACATTAATATCAAAATAACCCACTAAGAACAAAAAAGCTTATAACCTATTATGTCTTTTACAATAATGTAATTACTTTTTTTTAATTCGTCAGGATATTTGGTTAATATAGCTTTAAAAAACTACATTGAAGTATCCATAGGACATCACACAGTACTTAAAAGTGAGTTACTGCGTCGTTCATGTAGCTAAGTAATTGGTATGGATGCTTAAAAAGAACTGATATATATTCAAATGCTTTCATTTATTTTGACACATTGATTTGTAAAAATACTTTAACTATGAAACTTAATTCTGAAACATGTACGGAGTTTCTCTAGAATTTCATATCCATAAAAGATTTGTAATCCAAGAAGCACTACCTAAAGATGAAGGCAACATTACTTTAGCATAAGTTCATATATAAAAACAGATATGAATGAATGATTTCTGTATAGTGATTGTGTCATGAGTAGTCGTTCACTACCTCTACATTTAAAATTTTATATGAACATTTCTGAATATTGCAATTGGATTCACTTTCTATAGCTAGGTATACACTTCTAATACCTTTATTAATGATTGATCTTGTTTTCTCATCCTGCTTGTAAAGTCAGAATAATATCTTTGTGGTACAGAAACAATTGAACGCATAAAGTGGCATTTTTAACACTTTCTATTTCACTGACTTTGAAATGACCTAATGAAGTAAATATTTCTTCTATTAACATCTAAGAAGTCGTAAGTTACCAAGTCCCACTATAGAAACTTCAATTAATCTTTCCTTGGTCCTACACACATTGCTATAACTGGAAATGTATGAGACTGCTTAAGACTGAATTAAGATCGACAGCTTCCAACTATCTAGACAAAAAGGAAATTTCTGGAGTGTTTGCATATCTAAAGACTTGCAAAAGGCATAAATTACTATACATTTATATAACAAAACAACACTAAAAAGAACCATAAAAGAAACAATATGCTTGTTAGCTTAGGAAGATTAAAAAAGACAGTAAATGTTCATGAATATTATTAATTAGGTAAAATACATAGAAGAAACAAGATGAATGAACCTGACGTCATTTAAAACAGATGGACGATGTCTACCTTTTGTATCTAAAGTCTTAAAAATAAGTAATCATAGTTTTGATATCACTAAGAAATTGGCATATTTTAGTCGGTAATTCCAAACAATGTGCCTTTACGTCAATGGTGGTTGAACACATAAGTACAAATTAGGAATGGAAAATTCTTTATTAAACAGAAATAAACCTCTTTACCGAGAGCCTAGTTATTTCATAATTAGATCAAAACACTGCATTCGAACTTTGACATATTTTTTTTTAAAAAGGCTTCACATTGATTAGAAATCAAATCTCCTGGTTGTTCGTCTATGATTGACGCAAATGCATAGCAAAAAGCAAAAAACTTAAATGATCTAGCAAAATAAGGAATTCCATTAATATATTTACTTACCTGTTAGACTTTAAATTTGAAAAGTTCCATTGGCATTTGATCTATTTACCTGTAATTCTGACCTTCACTAAAACTTAAGTATAAACCTGAAGGGATGTGCTTTTTTATCTTCTTTGCAAAGATGTCATATAAATCATTTTATTGTATTGATTAGATGCATAGACATGATAGATTAATGACTTCCCATTATTAATTTACCTAGATATTCGAAAATGAAATGGAATTGTTTATTCGTACTCCTCTTTTGATGTCTTCTCCAAATTCTGTTTTTGTCTTGTGCGTACTTTTCAGTAAGTATAGTAAATCTATATTTAAAAAATACAAACAAAAAGAAAAATAAAACAAATAATCAAAATTCAGACTTTTTTGAAACAATGTAATAGTTCTAGGTAGTATGCAATTGTTAAACACACGTTGTAAAACAGAGCAAGAGCACCTTTATGAGGTTTCAGGACTTTTTCTTCAATTCCACTGAGAATTAAACAATAAATCATGTAATTAAAACCAGACCCTTATCTGATGGATGCACACACAAACTATGTCGTTAAAATATTGTTAAAAAAAACTTGTGTATGTATGCAAAAATGTATCTATTTTATATCTGCACTGTGTAAATAAATAGAAGTTAAATCTGTTATTGCTAAGAATAGGTTAAGAAACATGGACCTTGTAAATAGACGAGGAGTTTGAATATTGTTTCATGTACATTTTATTCATAAATGAGTTCACGTTTAGAGTACTGAGGTGATCGAACTCTCTCTTTTTCCTGAATTACGGTAATGACAGGTAACATATTTAACTTTGGGGTCATGAAAATTGTCTTATCCTTTACAATACAAAAAGCGTGTGACATTTGAAGGATCAACTTGAGAATTCTTGTTAAAATTTTGATTACTGCCAGAAATTTCCACGAATAAAGTTTTTTGTAAAGTAATTTCAAACATGTCCTCCATCTTCTATGCAAAAGATATATAAATAACAGTTACAAATGTGAACGAAATGAGGTTTTCTTTTTAATTCTCTTCTTTCTTAAATCACTTTGTACTACATTATTAAGGTTTAAAATCAACACGCAGTTTCGACAGTCTTTTGTTGATTTATTGTTTGTTTATGAAAGTATCTGCGACACAATATCCAAAACATCCGGGGAAACTTTAGCAGATTTTTTCAACATCACTAAAAAGATTTGTTTTCAATATTATCAACAGTACAAATGGCTTGTGTATATGAACATTTTTTTATCATTATTTCAAGAATACTATCGTTATTTCATCGATAAGCCAGTCACGTATTTTCATCAACACAAGAAGTGAATTGCATTCCAACAATCGTGGATTATTAGTAAACAAAATACTTGTAGAATGAATGGTGAATACCAGCGAAATACCACACATTCACTTGATACTACATACAAAATATCGTCTAACAAAAAAAATTCCAAGAGATTGCTTTTTATTTGTGTTATATAATATTTTTAAAATACATGCAATTCTTTAAAAAAAAAAAATCCACACATTTTTTGTGGGAAAAACAAAAATTTATTTCTTTGCACATAATTTTACTTTTATTGAGTTAGCAATGAAGTATGAAAGAGCAATTGTAGAAACTGGCATCCACAATGCACCATAGTGAGCACTGTAATACAATATATTGCCTCACAACTTGCAGGAATCTTGGAATGCAAAACCATTCAGAAGAAAGTTTTGATCTATCAGATTGTTTCTTCTTTTTTTTTCTAATGGATTTATTTAAGTCCTAGTATAAGTAGTGTGATTAAAAGGTGTGATTATGTGTAATTAATTTTGGGAAAAGTTGTATCAACTTTATAAAGCTGTTGAAACGTGCTTAATCATATGCATGTTAAAATGCTACGGTTTTATTAACAATCCAATTACATATTACATAATTGAAAACTTTTTGTTTTAATTCACATTGGCCTTGATACGAATCTTCTTTCTTTTCTTGCCTTTTTTCTCTTAGAGAAAATTTTCATTTTTTTTAAATAGTATTAAATGTTCTTTAATAATTTTTCTACAGAAGGAATTATTTCTTTTTTCGTGAACTTTTGATACATGATTAAAAAAAAAGATCTAATGCTGAAACAAGAACCTAGAAAATGTTTGACGAAAAATTTTTAATTATTGATATTTTTATAATGTATTGGAAAAAATCGTTCTTTACACAAAACTTTTATAAAGTATGATTTTTCTTTGCAGGAACCTGCAAAGCATATAGTAATCTTGGTTGAATTCATCTATAGTTTTTATTTATACAAGGAGAGGGGATATATATATATATATATATATATATATATATATATATATATATATATATATATATATATATATATATATATATATATATATATATATATATATATA